CGCGGGAGCCCGGCGCTCCGGGCGCGGGGAGCGCAATGCAGCGATTCCCCAGAGAGGCGCGGAGGGGCTAAAATATCAGTCTTTCCCGTTTAGATTCGGTTTGGGGGTTTTGCCTTTGCAAGCCGGGAACTGCTGTGCCCCCCGGCGTGAAATGTAGTCGTGCATTTCAAGTTTTCTGTTCTGGCCAACAAATACCCCGTTACGTTGCATAGCGGTTCCCTGGAGCTGGAGAAATAATCTCATTAGTTGGCTTTTGCTTATTTTGGGAAGCCGTAGTTTTGTTTTCCAGGATAATGTTGCAGTTCTTCTTTCAGTTAGGCACATAAAGAGGCATACCATTAACATGCACGAAAATCCATTTTGCTAGACTTCAGAAGTAATCTCAATTTTTTGAATTCTCCCAGGTTATCAGGCTACTTTTTGCTGTTGCGTGTAAATGAACAAGAACATCTGAGGCAGCAGCATTTAATCTGTAGCTCGTATTGTGAATGCGACTCTTCAGCAGTTTCAGCTTTTGGCTCGAACATTATCTCAGTCTTTAATGATGCGAGGGCATCATTTCTCAAGTAGTAACATAGCTCAGTGCTTTCCTTAACCTCAGGTGGTCAGGCACTTACAGCCTGTCATATTAACTATTTACAACTATGTAGAAGTTTAAAACCTCTCTCTGACTTTATTTTCTATACGGTCCCGATACCACTCCAGTATTATGCATGCAGGAAGGTTGTATATCTTGGAGAACTTTCACATTTTGCATCCTCCTTGTATGTGTTTGTCTTTATTTGGTTTTAAGGTAGAAAAACGTGTCCTAAGACTGTAAATTGTTCACAGCTGTAAAGATTAATTGTGCTGTTACACAGCCTGAACTGACAAGACTATACAGGGACCAGCCAGCCAGAGTTAACTTAATAGGTATTAATATTGTAGTACATAAGCTTTTATTCATGAATAAAACTTAATCTAATAGAAGGAACATCTTCTGAAACAGCAGTTGCCTTGAGAGGAGGGTGGTTACCTGTTTAACTTTTGTGTTCTTGGAAATTTCCCCTTAAATATGTAGAGAAAGGGAAATATCTAGTCTATTCACTCTCCTAAATTATGATTTATGGATTTTGTATTTTAAATTATAGCTTTAAGTGAAGTAATGAGGTTAATAATAAGATTATAGACATATTATGCTAGTTTAGTATGTAATATGCTAATTTATTTTAGGTTCTGTGCTACCTCTAATTTAGCTACACCTGAACAGTGGTTTGAATTTTCCCTGTCACTGGCAGACCTTACATCAACTGCAACTGAAAGCTCCTCTGAAGCATGATTTTGGTGAAAATAAGAATCACAGTAACCAGAGAGTCACAGTAAAATAGATCATAAATTAATGTCATTTTTTAAGGAGGTGTTACTTGAAATCTTTCAAGATCATGCTGTATCAGCTGTCATAAAATACATTTTACTGTAAAAGGTAACCACAAATATTCCTTGTGTTTAATGTTACTGGTATTCATTTGATTCTTACAGTAAATATTCAAATCCACCCTGGATCCTGCCACAAAAGTGCAGTCCATGCTGCCTTGTGCAGCCTAGCCTCCTGTCTCAAGCATCCCATTGAAATTAACAGAGACCTAAGCAAACTCACTTAAAGCTCACAAGGTGTGAGCTCATACAGGTGTATCAGAGCACAGTCTCAGGGAGTGTATGCAGACCATAAATACAGAAAGAGGACCTCATTTGCTTGACTGATTGATGTAGGAGATGAAAATGATCCAGCTTCTGGAGTTGACACATAGAAAATCTCCATCAGGTACCATCAGATTAATCACATTTCATTTTGAAAACAGATGCAAGAGCACTCTGGCACTGTGATGCATTCAGTTTAGAAATACACTTCAAATACGATGAGAACATTTGCAAAAGAGGCTATATTATTTAATTCTGTTTTCCACAGTGGGATTTTCAGGAATCTTCATTTCCCTGAAAACTATGGCCACATGCTGCACTAGGATTGACCAACTGACAAGAAGGAGAGTAAGCAAATCCCCCCAAATTTGAAGCAGCTGTTAAAACAAAACAGGAAGATAAATCCAATAAGTGCACACAGCACTGTGAAATCGGTGGTATGCTGATATGAGTTTGGGGACTGAAGATCAATGACATGGCAAGAACACTGTTTGCATTATTACTGCCAGCGGCACTCAGACTGAGAGAGCAACTGATTCCTTTCGAGCTGGAGAGGAAGCTCAAAGAGCAAGAGATCCACTTGTTGATTTTTGAAGTGTTGGGGGAAAAGTTTGCTTTAATTTTATACATCCAAAATGAAAACAAAATTCTCTTGGGGCGTTTTGCAAAGGAAACTTCTGTCAACACAGCAGTTCTTTGTTGAAACCAGCGGATCATAGTCTTATTCCCTCCCTCTCTTTCTATCACTCTGCAACTGTGACTACAGGGAGATGGTACAGAAGTGTCCGGCCAGGGCCTGACCAGAGCATGCTGTGGCTTTTTCCAGTGCTCCTTCCTTATGGAAATCAGGACATGTGGTAGGGGAGATGGCACCTGCTCAGGTCTCGCCCAAGGCAGAAGGGAGCGCTAGCATGGGGGGGATGGAGCTGGAGAGTCCACCCTGGACTTCAGAGGCATTCCTGCTGAAATTCTTCAATATTGATGTGTCTTAAGAAAATATGTCTACTTCAGCAAAATCAGCATATTCACTTTTTGATTTTAAAGAATTCTATTAAAACCATGATGAACAACTCCGCTAAAGCTTTATGCGAAAGTGTAGAAATCCACAGAACTTGGCAACAATCTTTTTTTAAGAATAACTCAGTAAACATTCATTTAATAAACATGTTCCAGTATAACAACACATAAAATTTTGTTCCTTGGCCCTATTCTCAGCGTTACCTGTACAGAATACAGATTTCTCGAAGAGAAAATAATTATGGTGCATCTGGAGTCTCTTTCTTCTCCCTTTTAGTTACCCGAAGCTGAAAGTGGCAGTAGGAAATAATAGTGACACTACCAGATTATTTTTTTTTTTCACTTCTCTTCATAGAATCTATTGGTTACGGAAAATTGAATGAAAATATGCAGATTTCTCTTCAGACCATAGCATATAATTGAAATGGAATGGACTAACTAGATAGAGAGCCTTTTCTACCAGTGGGCATGGCTGCTTTTTCTCCATGCACTGATGAACTTATGGCCTAAGATCAACCTTTTCAATGACAGCCAATATCATCAAGAAGTCTAGGGAGGAAGCTGCAGTTTTGGTACATGAATTAACAAAACTTTCACGTGTACATAGTGGATATTATAAGTTAAGCATTGGTGTGCATTGTTACTACTCAGTATGACCCTTGGACATATATGACTGTGTGCGAATTTAACTGTTATTGAAGATACTCTAAAAGCAGTCCTAATTTCCAGGTTTCTGAGAGAGAAAAAACATCTGCAGTTTGTTTCTCCTTTGCAGGATAGTCCTATCAGTTAAAATAGAAGACTACACAGAATGATCCTGCTTAGCACAGTTATTTATACGCAATAATTGAAATGAATAAATAAAATATACATAAAAAATGAAAAGCTCATTCATTCAGAGTCATCACCACTTTGAGAGCATTGTAAGAGTTTTTGAGGTTTTCTGAAACTCAAGATGGTACAGGACTTCCTTCCCTCTTTCTTGTTAGTTAGTCTTCCTATTCTCAGTCAATAACTGGTTGGTTAGTAACCAAGATTTGGACAAATCTAGCTCTTGAGTAAAGTTTCATTTCCCTTTCTCAGATAACTCCTGATTGGTCTCAAACCTGCTATCAAGCAGTGGGATGCTCAGCTGGTAATGTTTTCTTAATCTGTGTGAGATATAAACTGGAAAAGGAAGGTGTCCAAGCAAAAAGAAAATTGTCCAGAATTACACTAATTTCTTTTTCATTATTAACTCCTCAATTATGTGCAAGGGTTTTTCCTACACACTTCTCTGCTAAGATGAATGTGGTAGTGCAAAGATAATAGATTGTTCACCCTGAAAATATCAGGCCGATAATATTTCATATTGAAATGCAATGCACGGTTGAAATTACTTTCAAGAATTGAAAGGTAGTCTGCAGATTTCCGATGCGTGCACACACTGAAATCTGCAGAAGTATCCATCATAGCAAAACCCATCATTCCTCTGTGCTGAAGAAAGGGGAAAAAAATGATACAGGCATGACATAACATGGACATAATTCCATAAACTTGAGGTAAGGGAATGTATTTTATCCAGAGCAGAGCCCTGCTCTTATTTTCTCAAACAAAAATCATCTTGAGTCACATTTAGAAAATGGAAAGAAGTTTCAGATGATTTTGGAAGGCAAGGGTAGTCTCAGATAGTGGTTTTCATCTATTGCTTGGTTTTCCACCATTTGACTAGACTGTGAAAAATTAAACAGAAATTATTTACATTAATGCCGCCCTGTTCATATGCACACAATTATAATATTTAGATTATCTAAATTCACATATCCAGTTCTTACCTCTAGTTTAGCTATTAAAAAGCACTTTAACTCAACATTGTGAGAAGTTGGCAAGGCTTAGTCTTTTCACCTCTCCTCAACACATTTCTTGCAAGACACAAAAACTTGCAATATCTTCCTATTTTTATTAAATATTTCTAATCTTACCTAAGGGACCTTCCTATAACAACAAACTGTCAGTGAATATTCTGGGGGTGTTTTATGGTTTGAGCTTCCCTTTGGCACCAGGCTGTAGGAACGCACATGTTGTGATGTGAGGGAAGGAGCACATCTGCCTGACTTGAAGAAGTCAGCACAATACAGCTTTCTGAGGATAGCTACATTCTTGAAGAACCCTGCCTTTTTTAGTTGATGGGTTCAGACTTCTGCTCAATTTATGTATGTTTTGGATTTGTTTAGATCTTTTTGTTTTGTCTTGCCTAAGTTTTCTAAACATCAAGCAGTTTTGTACAGGACTGACACTCTGGGGAATTTTGACTTTGAAACTTTAGTACATTCAGGTGTTTAAGGTAAACTGGAGTTTAAATTTAATTCTCTTGTCTTTATATTTCTTCTTAAACTAAGACTAATACATTAAGATTCTGTGGACAGAATAACTCCGTGCTGAGCTAGGTTTTAATGTGAGATGTTTCTGTGCTGAATAATTAGCAGTTCCGTACATTTTCATACGGCTGTGTGGGGTTTACTTCCAGTTAACACTGTCCTCTCTGTATTACATCCGAGTACTTTGGATGTTTTGTAGGCAGTTGTCCCTTCTGCTTTAGCAACTGTTAAAATATGTCCAGCATTTAATAGAAGAAGATTTATATACACACCAAATTAGAAATTCCATCTTGGATCCCTGACTTTGAGAGTGAATCTCCTTATAAACTGATCCTTTTTGAAAGCTCGCCTATTTTCTGTTAGTTTTCTGCTAACAAAGTAGGAAATACTACTGCAGTCATTAGCATATGTCAAAACATCATATATTTTCAGGTGCTCTCATTATAATTTGCTGTCATGTAATGATTAGGCACATGCCCAGATGGTGATTGTAATTTCCTTACTCATATCAATGAGCTGTTATTCACATGAGTAATCTCACTGACTCTAAATGGATTGCTTTTGTAGCTAACTGCTCCCTCAAGGAAAGGCTGACAATATGGTCTATAGAAAAGCAGTTAAAAGCCAGTGTCATGATGCAGAACCTTAAATTGCCATTGTCCCATGTGAGCAGCCAGGTAGGAGGCCTAGGTGTGCTAAATGCCACATCAGAAAACGTACGAAACTAATTCGTGTTGACCTGAAGTTATACAGGATCTGCCTTACAGTAAAATATCACCACTATTGATTTATTTGCATTAAGGTAAATTTATGTTCCTTTACATTCTGATTAACATTGGTATAATCCTTCCTTCAGATGCTAATTAGTGCCTTTCTTGTTCTAAGCAGGACTGTAAAATGGATTTAGGATTCAAAGACCGTAACAACAGGACACCTACCAATAACACCTCTGCTACTACAAAGAATTTTTCTGCCTGGGAAGATTATAAGAGTAGTGTTGACGACATACAGTACTTTCTTATTGGGCTGTACACACTTATAAGTCTGGCTGGCTTTATGGGAAATCTGCTTATACTAACAGCTCTACTAAAGCGCAGGCAGAAGACAATAATAAACATTCTCATTGGTAACTTGGCCTTTTCTGACATCTTGGTTGTGCTGTTTTGTTCACCTTTCACACTGACATCCATCCTGCTTGACCAGTGGATTTTTGGCACTATCATGTGCCATGTAATGCCCTTCCTCCAGTGCATATCAGTTCTAGTTTCAACTTTGATGTTAATATCTATTGCTGCAGTCAGGTACCGTATGGTAAAATATCCCCTTTCTAGCAATTTAACAGCAAAACAAGGCTATTTCTTAATAGTGACCATTTGGGCCATTGGCTTTGCAATTTGCTCCCCTCTGCCAGTTTTTCACAAAATTGTAGACCTCAGCAAAACTCTGAATTTAGAGGCACTGGAGAACAGGCTCTTGTGTATTGAGTCATGGCCTTCTGATTCCTACAGAATTGCCTTTACGATAGCCTTATTGTTCATGCAGTATATATTGCCCCTGGTGTGTTTAACAGCTAGTCACACCAGTGTCTGTAGGAGCATAGGTTCCCGACTGTCAAACAAGGAAAAGAACTTTGAAGAAAAGGAGATGATAAACCTAACTCTTCATCCCTCTAAGAGTACCGGCACACAGGTACAGCCCTCCCGCCGTTCCAGATGGAGCTGTGCCTTTGGCAGAAAGCACCACAGAAGATACAGTAAAAAGACTTCAAGTGTGATGCCAGCTATTTCAAGACATCATCAGGATACTCATTCCAGAGACCTCCCAGAAACCTCTGGCACAGAAAAAAGCCAGCTATCGTCCTCCAGTAAATTCATCCCTGGGATACCTATTTGTTTTGAGATGAAACCACAAGAAAACACAGAGATCCAGGACATGATTACAGTATCCCGATCCATCATCAGAATTAAGACAAGATCTAGAAGAGTTTTTTGCAGACTGACAGTGCTAATCCTAGTTTTTGGGTTCAGTTGGATGCCTCTTCACCTTTTCCACATTGTGACGGATTTCAATGCCACTCTCATTTCTAACAGGCATTTTAAATTAGTATATTGCATATGCCATTTACTGGGTATGATGTCCTGCTGCTTGAATCCCATCCTCTATGGGTTCCTCAACAACAGCATAAAAGCCGATTTAATGTCCCTTATTCCATGCTGCCAAATACCATGATTTTATGCGCCCCAAGATAAAATGAATCAAACAAGCTTGGCTTTCAAGCATACTGATGTGTATGGCTGTAAAAGCTAAATTAGTTTAGTTTAGTTAGTCTGACTTGGTTGTGATTAGTAGCATTTCATGTGAATGATAGTTCTACTGCTGCATGTATTTCACACACTGGGCAGAAATATATACATATACTATCATATTCTGTCACACATAGGGAATCATGCCCAATGTGCAAAGCCAGAATAACATTTTCATCACCTGAAATATTGGCAATCTTTACTTTGGAATTACACAGAATATATAATGAGTGATAAATGTAAGACTACTTAGAAATATCAGTATTAATTGTCATAAAGCTATAATAAAATACATACCATTTATTAAAAAACTATTGTTGAGACTATTTCAGTGCTAACTTTGACTGTTTTCTAAGATAAATATCTGTTCCTGGATGTGATTAGAAAAATATTTTTCCTTAGCTCTTTGACTCATGCGTTATTATATTTTTGCAAGATGCTTTGCTGCTGGTTCCCAGACTGCCTTAATCTCTATAATGGGTTGTGGGTGGTTGTTCTTGTCTAGATTGTTTTCATCTCATTGTACTTACCTAGTACAACCTATCTCTGATTTCCTTAGCCAATTTTTACTCTGCCTTTTCATTGTATGTAATTTTCAACCAGGCCTGAACTTATCTGTATTTATGCCTTTGTTCTTACAGTGATGACTCCCGTGAGCATAAACATACTTCTGATCAGATTACGCCTTTATTTCCTAAGTGAGTGATCGTAGAAAAAGAAAATAGAAAGAAAGCAGGATTTTTTCTTTTCCTTCACCAACAAGCAAAAGCTTACTGCATTTCATTACAGTGACCTGCTTGCTTTGGAGAGGTCCAACAGCTTTCAAATAAACATGTGCATGTGTGTGTGTGTGTGTGAACACACATATGTGCACGCACACACACGCTTTCTGAATCTCCTTCCCCTCTATCCTTTTCTCCTTTTTAACCAGACCAGTAGTTTTCCTTCCAAATTTAAATCACGTGCATCTTCCCTAAAGAAGTCATATTACATTTTAGAGCACAAATGCAAGGAGTGTTTTTTTGTGTTTTGTTTCTTGTTTTTTCCCCCCCTGTATTACTCTAATTTAATAACCCAACTCTGCCTTCAGAATTCAGTAAATGTACAAAGCCTCTGCCCTGAGTTTTAAGATGTAAAACCAGGTCTACCTGATGATTAATTCCTTTTCTCCACTAAGATTTCTAATACAATAGACTTTTCTACGTTGCCTTTCCATGCTGAGAAATAAAGTTATTATTTTCATAAATGGATGGATGAGAAGGGTCATTGTGCATTTTTTTGCTTGAGATACTTCCCTTCCAGTTAATCTTTAAAAGTGGAAGTGGTTCTTTTACTTTGAGGAATCTTCAAATTATTTTTGTCACAATGTTACAATTCTGAGACCTTTTCTCCCTAGGTCATCATCTGCTAGGGAGTTTATTACATACCAGTGGGTAATATCTTTGTTTCTATCATTAAGTTATTTCCCTGAAGTCTAGTTTCCAGTAACCCACTGTTCTTTGTTTTCACTAGTGCTACACTTTAATAGTTTCTTCCTGGACATTGACTATTGCATTTTGCAGATTATTATCTCCTAAAAACCTACAGTATGTCATTTTATAGACTACAAATGGTACAGAATACAGAATATTGGAACAATAGACTTTAAAATAGCTTTTAAAAGGTTTTAAATAGTTTAAATTAAAAATATTTATAGCTAATCTTGGTATATAAACTTCAGAAAAAAATTAACTAGATCCACAGCTAGAACACAGTGTGGTTCTACAGAAGTTACAGCAGTTTATGCCCTATATTCATATCTACATACTTTCATGCCATTGTAATATACCATTTAACTTTATTTGTACCATGTGATGAAACCAAATAGTATAAGAGAATAAGAAAGCAGTCACACATTTTCAGCTAAAAATGTTTCTTCTATCTTCTTTGGATAACAGCTCAAATTTACTGTGATCTTCCTTCCTGCTTGCTATTTATTTTCTATTTCTTCCTTTCTTTATATACATGCAGAATTTCAGCCATTTTTAACTCCTACCCTTAGGATTGTTTTTGAAATAGAAAATAACTGTTTATTCACTAATTACTCTTTTCAGATCAAGTTCTGCTTGCTTTTACTGTATATGACACACAGAATCATGCTAGGACTTGAATAATGCCTTCCTCTATTTTCTGAGATGTCCAAAGATTAGTCTGTACGCTGGTGATTTTATGTGAGCCCTATCCATTTTCCTGTATGAGGTCAATAACTGTGCTGTTTACTTTTTACACTGATCAAACACAACAAATTGTAATTTGGCAGTAGAGAATTAAATCAAGACAGCCATTGAACTTCTTTAGTCCTGTGTATTGTCTTTCTTAAGACAATCAATGGTGGGAGAATGTGTATTTTCTTTATAGAGAAACCATCAGCATTATATTTTGACATCTCCAAAAAGTCCCTGTCTTTCCTATGAAATGTTAAACAAAAATAAAAAAACTTTTCCACCTTCCTCCAACAGCCAGTGTAACTTGGTCCCACTATCAGCAAGGAATACATAAGGAGCAGACAGTCGCAGTAGCAAGTGAAATCAGGCAGAAGGCTGTTCCCACAAGAGTAACTTCTATGACTGGGAGAAGAAACACCTGAACCATCTATTTAAAGTTTCCCCCATCTGGAACACTGAAAACAAAACAAAAAAATATTCAAAACACAAGGATCCCTCCACCCCATGCTTGTTGAGTAGGCCTCATCAAGTTTGAGCTACAGTCGATGCTCCTATGGGCTTCATGCACAACAGTGATCAGCAGTGTGATGTTGTCTCCGTTATGTATGTCAGTATGCCTTGGGAAGATGTATCTCACCACAATAGCCAGTGACATTTTGTCATTCTCTTATGTATACAGGAATATGTACAGACACAGAAACCTAGAAAACAAAGGACATTAAGATGGATTTTCAAATAGCACATTTAATCAAGTCCTTAGGCCAGCTAAACTACTATGGGACAATTCTTTCTGTAACTAAAAATCTACATAAATGGGAAGGTAGGAGTTTTGTTTTGATAGCACCCACTAAATGCAATTGGAAAACAACAGCTGCAGAGCCATCTATCCATTGGAGTTAGAAGACTGAAGAATTCCAGTGGTACAGTGATCCATCTCTATTAATTAAAAAAAAGAAAAAAAAAAAGGATTGGAAAAAAACCCTCTCAGCTGGTTCTTTTTGTATGATAAATGTTACAACTCTTAAGACAATTTGCATGAGGAAAATAAATTTTTTTTTTCAGTTCTACAAAATAATATCATTGTCAAAGTTGACTTTTTGTAAATTTCAAAGATTAAATGTTGTTAATAGCTGGCCTTTGTTCCTCTTTCAGCAGAGAAGAAACAGATGCCCATTAGAAGTGTTGGTGTGGCCAGGTCACTCCTGAGCCAGACAGGCCAGTGGGGCTGAGGATGCCAGGAGCTCAGCATGGACTAACACCACAGTATATTTATTTAAGTTGTGGGGAAGATGTTGGAGCCTCTGTGGTTCTCCATAGTGCCATGGCAACAGTGGCTGAGAGAGATGCATATGGCTCCTGTAGGTCTAGAGTAGCTGTAATGGCAGCAGGCAGTGTAGAGTCCCAGTCATGCTGAGATAGGCTCCAACTGTCCTTTTGAGAAGTATAGGACAAGGTGGCATGGAAAACCTCCCTACCTAAAGATTATTAACAGATTAAAAATACCTTCTGTAATCCATAGTGGTCTGACAGCTATCATTGCACTTCTGAAAAAAAAAAAAAAAATCAATCGTTTTCTCACAGTCCCAGTGTTTGTCTGCAGCATAGAAGAAAAACAGTATTAAACATCACAGTGTCCAGAAAGATGTCCTTCATAAATGCCATTGGGTCCAGGAATTTAGCCTCTGCTTTTGATGAAAGACAAATTATGCATATAATATTTACAATTAAAAGTCTTAGCCAGAAATTATTTTAGTACAGTCTGGAACAGTCTCAGGGCATTGACAAGACTCTGGTCCTAGACAACCCTCTTCTTTTTTCCCCCACATAGCTTCAGTAATCGTGTAAAATCACAATCCTCATGAAGTACCTTTATAAAGACTATTAGGTAAATTTCTGAACCATTTTCAACCATGATATATGGCTTATAATCTCTGAGGTCAGGTTTCTTGGTCTTCCATTTTATGTCTTTTTATATACTGTTGAATCCAAACCTCTACTTCTTCTAAGGCCTTTTACATGTACTAAGTAGTGAAGACCTCTGAAGTTGCATGGTTTTGATCCAACAGTACGTATTTTCATTGTAGGTATATTTAATTGGTTGAAAGTTGCTATTGTTCATATTCAGCTGAAGTGATTTTTGACAGAAAGAGGAACACTAGCTAGCCACATTGTTCCTGTGACGGAATGTGTCAGAGCCAGATCCTTCTCAAGTATCTGCTGGGGACAATGCATCTGTGACAGTGCCGTTAAACACTGTTAATCCCATATGTGACGGGAAGCCTATTGCAAATTTTTGAATCTGAGGAAGTAACAGCTAATACATGCGTATGGGGACATGTGCCCTTGCCCTTCTCGAAATGGTTCTTTAAAGCAAAAGCATCTTCTTTCCAACCATTTTGTGAGGATAATTTTGCCTGTGATCACTCATAATGCATAATTCTCTGCCATTCAGACAATCTGTGTCATCATACTAGGGTATAATGCTATCCACATGCCAGTGAGCCTTACCACAGCATCTATTTTTAAAGCTATGCAAGCTCAGAGATACTAGTGACATCTGCTCTACTCCAAATGTTACCATGATCTCCTGGACTCCTTATTATAATTTATCTCATTATATATATATAAAGCCTAATACAGCATCTCCTTGTTAAAAATAGTCTTACTGATTCTGACAAAAACTTTGTCAGAAACCTGATTTCCTCAGAAAGAATATAACTGCAGACAGGAAGGTGTTGTCACTGTTTTTCAAAAAGCTGAGCTGTGCGTTAAGGGTAAAACTAGCACCATTGTTAGAAAGGCAGTATAACTATACAAGCCAGACTTTTATTAATCTTGTCTGCTTTTGAAGAGAAAATATTGTAAAATATTTGAAAGTTATGAAATTACTTCATTACATACTAATATTAGGAAATATTGTATAAGAAAACATTGCCGCAATCTAAATTCAGTTCTTTTGAACAAATATGAATGTTTCATTTTGCCCTTGTAGTCACATTAAGATGATCCTTTTAATAATAAGGCTTAAAAACAATCCTC